TGTGAGGAGCTGTGTGGAGCACCTGCTGTGATCAACTGTACTGCTCTTTTTGCAGTTGTCTCAGTGCAGCCCAGAAGTTCCCACAGGCAGTCCGTTTCAGAGCTACTATGAAGAGGACTGTATTGTGACTGACGGGACGGCACTAAAAGCTGGAGAATGTATTGAGATTATAACCAACAATTTAAAAAAGATAGATGCCCTAATATCTGAATTTTAGGATGTTATTAAAGTGTTTCCAAAAGTTAATTATAAAAACACTCACAGTCTTTATATTTTCTGTCAAAAATTTAAAAATATTTAGTGAAATAGGCATAAAAATTGGTATTGTTGTTAATTCATACTTTGTGAATGTCCATGGATTTGGGAGTGGCGTTTAAGTTAGGTGTTAGAATTTTAAAATTTAAGAAAAATCCTGATGTTTGTATTTGTAAAATTTTTTGTTTTGCTTTTATAATTGTTTATTAAATTTAATCATAAACAGGTGCTGTACATGAGTATTTAGGCTATCAAACTGGACTATTAAATTGGCTACCTGTTCTGTTAACAAGTCTCAGTGGGAACTAAAATGTAACACATGTAGACAGTGTTTTTGTAGTTGGCTGGAACTATTTTCATCTATAAGAAAATATTAAAGATATAGTCATATAATAAAGTTTGAGAATTCTCAAAAGATAAAAATGTCAGTTGCCTTATTGCATTGGAAACAGTTATTATTCCTCAACATGGTTCCTAAGCATAGCAGACTCTGGAACTCTGGAATATCAGAGTCCTGGATCCTTCCCTGATGAATCAGCATCTGTACAGGTGAGGCTGGGACATGTAACTGAAAGCACATCAAGGCAAGTTAATGTTCGTCTGTATGAAATACCCAGTGCTGTAGGGAATGAACATGTGTGCCAAAAAAAAAAAAATGCAAGGAGAAAGAAAATGTGTGTCATTCCTCAAGGATTCCATGAGAAGTTTCAGTGCATGTCTGTATTTGAAGATAAAATAGTAGGCCACCTAAAGAAGACAAAGGCCACAAACCAACGCAGAGGTGTTAGAAATGTATGTTCATAGAAAAGAGTTGACATGAAATTAGCTTCATTAGGAGAGAGACTCAAACCATGGAGAACCATGGTTAGGGACAGCGTTGTGAGAGCAGCTGCCTAGTGTCCCGTAATAAGCTCTGAAATGACAGACAGAGCCTTCAGGACCAGAGGACACAGAGGCTTCTGACTCACAGATACTGAGGCAGGTGGCAAGTCTCATTCCCATGACTAATCTGACCTATCCTGTGTGGCCCAAATCACAAAGGCACTGATAAAGACTAGCTGTAATATAAGGTGGTTCCTGGTCTAAGAAGTGGGAGCCGAGCCTGCTCTCAGCTGCTACTGGGAGGGAGACTAGAAGGCCCCAGCACGGCCTGCTTTCTTATCAACTCTTCTCACTAGAGAGAACTGCAGGGAGGGGTGTGGCCTGATTCTGAGAGAGAAATTAAGCAACTGAAGGGTTTGTAGTCCACCAGTGAGAGAAATGGAAGCAAGTAAGTAACCCTAGTAAGGGGCGGGCAGGCTGGTGACTTCAAAGAAATTAAGGCTGGATCTGTTCAAGGAAGACCTTGACATTACAACAAAGGGCAGCACTCTGTGCACAGAAGAGCCATATGTCTAGAATTAAAGCCCAAGCTGACTGTGGGGACTGACTTGGAATCAGACCATTATGAGACTGGCATGCATGAGAGGGCAGCAGACAGACATTACTGTGCCAGCCTCTGGCCCCATGTCTGAGGGAATCCATTGCCCTGATGTTAGCTCAGATTGTCAGCTTCCACATCAAGAGCCTTAGGGTTCCAGCAGGCAGCCAGCTACTAGCAGGTTAGGTGTCTGCACAAAGTCTTATTAAACCCTCAGCTGCCTGGGAAGAATGCACCACCAGGGCAGAGTTTTAAATGGCAAAGGGTCTCTGCCTGACAGGGTTGTTACAGGTAGATACTTTCATTTGTCCTCCATGAAAGCTTAATATCATTTTCTTCTGTTCAAGTCAACTTCCAGACCTCATTACTTCAAGTTCATCGGGTGCTTAGAGCAGTCTCCTTTGTTCTAGCCATTCTCAGAATTGCGTCGGTGAGGAGCTAATGCATTTTTAACCAACTCAAGCATCTGAAAGGTCTGGTTTGTAGTACATCCAACAGCTGCTGCTAACTCTCTGAGAGCAGTGGCTCTGACAGGAGGCTCGTGTGTGTGTGTGTGTGTGTGTGTGTGTGTGTGTGTGTGTGTGTGTGCATACGTGTGTAGGTTCCTAGAGGTGAGGGATATATGTGTTTTATGACCTGCCTGCCTAGTACCTGACTTATATGTTGACAGTTGCCATTTTTTTATTGATTTGACATTTCCTGGCAGTCTAGCAGGAATGTTGACACTTTGTATTCTCAGACATCTTTAGTGTTTGTTTGTTTGTTTGTGCTTCCTAACTTCTCCCAGGATCTTTCAACAGGCACATGCTATAATTCTGTAAGGTATCCAGCAGCCTCCAAATGCTACAGTCAGACAATCAAAACCTCTCCTTTGAGTGGGAAAGTCTGCGAGGCTCAGCCTGCTTGGCTGGTTTCAGTGAATCTCACTTACGTCTGTGGTCAGCTTCAAGTCTGCTCAGCCATGGCTCTGTTGACCTTTGTGGGCTGTCACATGTCTGGGAAGCAGACAGCCGCTTTCTGACCTAGAGCATCCCCAGGTGGAGATGTCAGGGCAGTTTGACTCTGCTTCCTATTTCACTTTCCCTCTTGCCACAGGCTAGCCCAGCCTTGTCCTCATGAAGACAGCAAAGCAATCACAGCAAAGAACCTCTCTGTTAGGTAGCTGGTTAGATATTAACAGACTTGGAGGACAGGGGCCCAGATCCCTCTCCTTCATAATTACCAGGATATAAAGCCAAGGACTAGAGCAGCAGAGCTCAAAGTGCTGTCTTTATCCCTGGGAGGAGCCTGCCATCCTCAGCTGCCCAGAGGTCATTGATAGTGAGTTGGGTTCTGGAGCTCCAAATCTTGCATGCTTTCCATCTAGCAGTGGGCTTTCTGATTAAAGAACAGTGACATATGGTGATTCCTCCTCTCATTAGAAGCAATGCCAATGAGCCTGTCAATCACCAGGACAAAGCAATGCCCCTCAAGATCTGATTGTTGTAGAGAAGTGATATAAAACCTGCCTGAGACAGAGGTCAGCACAATGGCTCCTTTGGACACTGTCCACTCTCATCCCTCAAGAATGTGTTCTGCATAACTCCGACTATCTCCTACCTGTATTCTGTTGCATTCTGTTGTATACCTGTATTATGATGGGCGCAATGATCTGGGAGATGAGGAAAGTCCAGAGAAAGACCCCAGTGACAGCACCAGGCGAGGAAGGATGCTTCTGCTTGCATCCTCTTTATGACATCCCTTTGTTCCAATCAAGTCACAGAGCTCATACCAGTCAAATGGAGACATGCCACCAAAACGCATGGACCTAGATGCAGGTCGGGTATCTGCCGCTTGCTCATTAAAGAAGAGAATGTTGCACTTGCAGTCTTAAGAACATCAGACAAATTGTCATTGATAGTTGAAAAACCCTCACAAACTTATTTTCAGGTAAATATGTACTTTTAAAAGCGTTTATGAATTTATAGCCCAATAAGGTCTCCATTTTTTTCTTCTGCTTTTTAACAGTTTTTAATAATGTAAATATTTGCATACTATAAAATTGTCCTACAACATGGTTTTACTAATTACATGGTATTTATTACATGTATATTGACATAATGAATTACCCTCTTATACTGGACATTTAAATTGTTTTTATTTTTATAATTATAGACCAATTTTGCAAAAAAATGCATCATTCAACTCTTGCATGCATGTACATGTTTTTCCTAGTCTTCTCAGGAGAGAGATTGAGGGGCCAGTACCAGTGTACAATTTTAAGGCTATCTCTGTCCACTGAGTTTAATCAGCCAAATCACATGTACACAGGTTCATCCATTTCTCAGCAAGAAGATTGCTTATAACTATGTTAGGCTACGTTTTGACTATGACTAGGGACTATGAGATGGGCAGGTCCTTATTTTTCTTGGACTTTTTGCTAATTCCTTAAAACGTGGTCAAAATGAGTATCCGAGTATCTCATAGAAGATCATCTGATATAAGAATAATAAATTGGATGATCAGTAGGGACAGGATGATATGTTAGAAGACATGACAGGTCTCTTGCTTCTGCTGTGACATGTGTTTTCAGTAAATCATTGCGAACGATATCAGTGGAGAGTCATTTCTCTATGAAACATTTTGGTGGAATGATGGAACTTTAGGGTATTTCCATGTGGGCACAGATAGGGGAGAATCTAGCACTTCAGAGAGTGACATCACTCTTCAAGCTCCTTTGACTTAGTTGGTCATGCAGCTTGTCTCTTGCATCATGACCCTGATCAGTGAGTGTTTTATACAAGATCCCACCTTTCTCTGGGTCACACCATTAGGGTTTTTTTTTTAAGCCTGACATCATCTGTTCTTCCACCCATGTACCTGGTTGTTTCGGTGTTTTTGTAGTTTTTATTTGTAAGGCCTGGCTTTGGGTCCTGGTCCTTGACTCAGAGCAGCCTGCAATTTACTCCTCATGTCTTTAAAGCCTTTTTCATCTGTTTCTGCTGATTTATTTATTGCCCCTATGACCTACTAGTCTCGATGCGGCAGGTTCCCGCGGCAATCACCTTTGTTTCACTTCTGAATTTTCAGCAGACCCTTCTTCCAGTAACGTCCCTCACTGGGTCTCTCGCTCTTGCTGCCTTGTGTTGAGCGTCAAACCCAAGCCAGCTCCGTCAGTCAACAGGTTCTCCAGCACAGGAGTGAGGACACATGCTTCCAATTCCCACGGTGTCCTTCACTGTGTCCCACTTACTGGAGCTCCTACGTTGAAGCGCCACTCTGTAACGACCCGGTAAAACCCCACGTTTGGGGACCACTTTGTCCCAGCTGCTGCTCCTGTCAATGGGTCAGGGTTTAGCAAGAGAGAAAAAGAGTGGGGATGGAAAGACAAGAGACTCAAAGAATGGACACAAGACAGAGAGTCTGTTCAAGTCCCTTTTACTGAAAGGAAATCATAGGTAAATATAAGCACAAGCAGGGGAACGCAGCTGAAGACACTTTACCACGTGCACCTGGCAGCTGGTGGCACAAAACAGCAAAACAAGATATGGGAGAAAAACGAGATGTTTATCAGAGTGTGCTCAGCTGTTTCGGGCTGTTGAAAACAAGTCTCTTGTCAAGGTACATGGCTCAAGATGGCAGCAAAGATGAGAGCCGCTTTCTACTGGGACTTGGCTCCCAACAAGGAGCCTCATGACCTACTCCAGAATGGAGGTCAGAGAGGGATTTTATGGCCAGCTCCTCCACGGAGAACAGAGTGGTTAGAATAACAGTTTTAATGCTTGTAGCTGGCCTTGAGGAGAAGGCTTCAGGTCCACTCTGGGAAGAGAGATTCTAGGTTCTCCTGTTTATCTGAAGGGAGACTAAGCCATTAGAGATAGGGTCGGGAGAAGGTCAGAGGAAAACTACTTCTAGAGCTGCTTCCCAAGCTGCCTTAGTCAGTTCTATTGCTGGGAGGAGACACCTTGACCAAGTCAACTCTTATAAGAGATCATTTAACTGGGGCCTGCTTATACTT